AAAGGAAGCGGCAGGCTGAGGAAGAGGCGGAAAAGAAGCGGCAGGCTGAGGAAGAGGCGGAAAGGAAGCGGCAGGCCGAGGAAGAGGCGGAAAGGAAGCGGCAGGCTGTGGAAGAGGCGGAAAAGAAGCGGCAGGCTGAGGAGGAGGCGAAAAAGAAGCGGCAGGTCGAGAAGGAGGCGGAAGCAAGGCGAGAAGCGGGGGTGAACATTCATGATTCCGTGAAGGCCCAAGAGTCGGAGAGAGACAAGGGCGCCAGATTTCTGAAGCTCTTGAGTTCCCGGGCAGAGGACCTGGAAAGTTATGTGATTGCTGCCAAAGCACAAATTCTCAACTCCTGTTTATCGGAAGGGGCGACATCTACCACGTGCCGCGACGCCCTCTCCCACCTCCAGGCTGCGGTGTCGAGCCTGACTGTTGCCATTGCGACGCTGAGCGAGGAATTGGGTGTTGAGTACGAAGCGCCTGAAGTGCCAGCGAGGAAGGGCTATGAGGCTGGGCAGGAAGCCACCGAAGCGTTGGGGAGCCAACTGACCACTGAAGAGGAGGCGATGGTCATTGAACTTCGGGGATTATGGACTTGGGTTGGAACTGCGCTTTTAATTGCCGCGGCAGGCTTCGGCAGGGGAATGCGGGGGACGTCAAAAAGCAAGGATGAAAAGGGCAGCGCAAGGGAAGATGACGGAAAGAGAAGGGAGGTGGATCAGCGCGGGGGCACGCAAAGCACCAGTGCTGAGAAGCCTCAGGACGGCGCGACCCCCGACACGGCATTGCCGCAAGGCGCGGACCGACACAGCGCCCCGGGGCTTGTGCGTCGCGCAGCGGCGGCTAACGCTGAACCGAAGACTTCCCCCCCTGCCCCCATGAAGCACTCTTTTGGTGGACCACCTGCGCCAGGCGCGGGGGCGCCATCTCCGTTGCTGTTTGGAGCGGCGCCAGCACGGCCAGGCGTCACGGGAGCTGCGGCTTGCCAGCCATCACAGACCGTCTTGTTGAACCAAGGTCGCAATGGCTCGTCGCCCGGTGGACCGCCGAGCCGCCTTGGCCATAGTATATCAAGCGCTGATAGGTCTGCTGCGGCTGAGGCGGCAAAAGGAGAGAATACAGACTTTTCGGACGAGCTCCGCAACCCCTTCCTTCAAAGGTGGTCGTGAGGAGTCGAATTTCGTCCTCTCTAATGCGCCGGTTGCTGCGTGTCTTTCCCCCCCCCCAACGTTGCTATTGAAACGACTAACACTGTTTCCCTCCATTACTTCCTTTCTTGTGTCCGCGAGATGGCGTGTCAAACACGATGCACCGTGCGCTGTGAAGGGGAGTGTGGAAGATTTTTGAGCCGCCTCATGTGTTCAGCGTACCATTTCTTTCTTTGGTGTTGTGCGCTAGCGATGCACGAGGAGTTGTTGCAATGATGCGCGCGGCATAACAAGACCAACCCCCCCCCAAAAAAAAAATACTCCGGATGGAGCGAGAATAAATGGCACACACACACACACGCGACATGGAAAAGTTTTATTGGCTTAATATTTCCTTTTAGCTCCTTGCCTCTCCCTATCCAGGCATGGCTTCGCGTATCAGGCGCAAGCTGACGAAGAAAAAAGACTATTGAAAAGTGACTTGTCGTCTCTATATCGGGCACCGCATCTAAACCTGTATACATGCACGCGAAAGGAATAGAAGCATGCTTGAACCCGTCACGTACTAATGCATCTGTTCAGTTAAGTGTGTTTGATCTTGTATGTTGTATATATATATATATTTCCATCTCTGTGTGTGGGTTCCTTTTTGTTTTGTTTTGCTTCATGCATAGCAGCCAGTGGGAAGAATGTAGCACGAGTGTCTGCTTTTGTACTGGACAGTCTCCGTCCTTTTTCGGCGTTCTCTTTGATGTTCTCTGCGTTGCTCGTGCGGGGGTTTTGGAGCAGCCGTCGCCTGTCTCCCCACGCCATCCCCTTTACAATCCCCGCGAGGGATGAGGAGGAGGGTTTTTTTTTCATTTTTTATTTTATTTTGGGGGTTGCAGCCGAGTAATGCACGAAACGCGGCGCCGGAAAAAAAAAGTGTGGGGCATCATCCGGTATCTGGGGACGCCTCAGCCGCGCGGCGATATATACCGCAGGGTCGCGTGCTGCGCTCCCGTTGCCGGGTGCTCTCCTGCTTGATGTTTCTCCTCCTCTCCCCCTTCCCTTGCGGCCGCGGGGGACGACGCAGGACTTGACGCCCCATACGCAATAAAACGTCCACAGAGCAAAGTACTGGCAGGAGACAGGTGCATTGTCTTTTTTCCGCCACCTCCTCTTCCTTCCCCTTCTCTGGGGGGTTGCGTTGGTGCTGCTGCCGCTTTATATGGAGAGGCCGAGGAGGCGGAAGGCAAAAACGGCACCAACATCTGCTTCCCTCGTGTGCGTCCCCGTTCATTCTTGTTTTTATTACCTTCCCCCCTTTTTTTGTCTCCTTCTCTCCGGCTTTCTTCTTCTCCCATCCCCGCTTGAAGCGAGAACGCTAACGCGGGATGGAAGCCAAGGTTGCGGAGTGTAACTGGTTTTTGCTCTTTGACATCGCCCTCAGCCATGGCGAGTCGCTTCGCCAGCAACGCCTGCGGTACTGCGGCCTATTGACGCTGCTGCGCTCTGCTGGCCTGCTTGGGCCCAAAACAGGGGTCTTTCAGGTCTTGTTGGAATCCCTTTGGCTTCTTCACGGGAAGCCGCTGCGGTCCAGCGAGGAGGGCGCGACTACGAAACGAGATATTCCCATTCCCGATCTTACGGTTGACTTCGACGGGTTCCTTGCCATTATGAACGTCGTCTGTGTGAGGTGCTACCAGACGCAGCGCTGCGCGGAGCTTTTGGAGGAGGCAGTTCCCTTACTAGACGCCGTCAGGCTGTCCGCGGAGGACCAGGTGCAGTTGAAGGAGAGTGTGGTTTACACCGGCCGCCGTTTTTTTAAGCCCCTGATTAGCCGATGCATCGTGCTAAAGAAGTCTGTGGTGTCGTTGAACTCCATGAAGAATGACTGGACGCCCTACACCAATCAGTTTGTGGTACATGTTATGGCCGCCTCCGCCCCCACGATTGTGTTTCCGCTTTTTGAGCGCTACGCGGAGGCTGGTCGAATTTACCGTGCAGCCTTTGAAAAGATGGTGGACGACGTGTTCCCAAACTTTACCTCCCTCCAGAGGAAAAGTGCAGTCTCCGTCTTCGACTATCGTGGATTCTTCGGCATCCATAATTTAATGCAGTACTCTGCCCTGGAGTTTCCCAACGGGAGAGTTGCGGCGTTGGAGCTTGACTCCTTCGCAGAGGCGCTTCTGATGCTGGGGATCGTGGCGTACTCCGATGAGGTGCAGTACGAGCACCATCGGCCACTCACGGCGAAGGTGTGGTCCGTCTTTGAGGACTACTACGGCAAGTTTCTCGGCGCGCCGATGGTGACGGATCCCATTCTGGAGAACAAATACGCCTCGATTCTGCCAGCCATTAGCCTGCTGTTTCCGTCACGGGTGCCTATCGACACGACCTCGTCGTTTATCCTTGGTGGGTGGAACCTGACCGTGGACGACCGCGAGGAGGTCGCGCCGGCGCGGACGCACGACTGCCCGCCGCGTATGCTGCAAGCAAATAAGTTACGGAGACGCTCCAACGGTGGAAATGAGAGGCGCAGCTCCGGACCGGTGCCTTCCTCCACCGCAGGTATGGCGTCAAAGCTGTTTGTAGAGGAGATTAATCGAAAAATCCAGGCGGAGTACGATTTGCCAATCTACGGCATGAGGCGTTCTGCAGTGTACTTAAACCAAGAGCGCGCCATGGCCTTCCAGCGAGGAGCGAATAGGGTGGAAGTCGTTATTCCACCCTTCCTCTGGGACCTCGCCAGCTACACGAAACAGGTCCGCTTCACTGAGGAGAAGGAGAAGGGCACCCTAACCCTTTCTCCCGTGGCAAGGGCCGTGGTGTCCTTGCGTGATGGCTCTGGCAGCACAATATTCAGCTCAAAGGAAGTCCTCTTCGTGGCGGCGTCTTTAGTGGAGGTCATTCCCGCCGCACACGTGCGGGAGCTAAAAAACGTCTTTGCCCGCCACTCAACGGACGCCGTGATGACGTTTGAGCAGTTTGATTCGGCCTGCGTTGAGCTGTGTGTCGAGGCCCTGGTCTTGCAGTGGGGTGATTCTGCGGCCTTTCTAAAGACGTATTTGGAGCGGCGGGACCTTGACAAGCCCAGCGTTGCGGCGAGTGACTCCTGCAAACCGGACACCATCGCGTTTGAAGAATTTGTTGCGGCTGTGGCGACGCTTTTGCTGCACCAGCTCGGCGCCGACGGGGGCAAGCCTAACATCCCCTACCTGCTTGGGGTGGTCCTGTCACGCGTCGCCCACAAGTTTCCACCTCTGTCCGGAAGCAAAACTGCTGCGGGTGCATCCTTGAAGCCGAATCCGCCGCAAAAGTTCACACAGCCGTACAATGCGCGGATCGACGTGCCGTACGCGAATGCCTTGCGCCAAAAGGCGCTGTCGTTAGATTTCTTTTCGGACGTGGAGGAGATACTGAAGGACGTGGGGAAGGATCGGGCCTCCGTCCGACTCCTGCCAGACTTTCCCGCGGAGGCCAGGACGGTGGCCGTTGTTTCCCAGTACAGCGATGAGAAGGGGGCTAGCGAAAAGGTTAATACGGACTCGGCGTCCTTGCGTGGGGCGTTTCTCAAGAAGGAGATGGTGGTGTGCCCGCAAGGGCTCAAAGCGGAGTGATTTTTTAATTTATTTTTGTATTCAAAAAAAACAACAACAAAAAACAACAACCCAAAGTTGACGGCTATTTGGCTCATTCTACGCGTGCGGCCGCAGGTGTAAATAAACAGGCGCGCAAAAAGAGACATTTATAGTTCTATATGCTGCCAACGCAGTGGTAGGTAGCGATGTAGTCGGCCTCATGTGAATTTACCGGGTAGTTGTATTATCCACACCCATCTTCTGGAGAGCCTCCTGACTCAAAAAACAGCGAGTATTTTGCGCTACCCCTTCTCTATCAAATGTGTGTGTTTTTTTCTTTGCTTTCTTTATTTGTTTCCCTGCCCCTTTCGCCTCCTTGAGGCTTCATGGCCCGCTGTGTGTTGCACTTGCCTCTGCCGTTGTGTACAAGATCTGTATGCCTGCGTGTTCACCGCGCTTCCTTCCCTTTTTTTTTTGTTGCCTCGTAGCAGCGCGCGGCGGTGGTGGTGAGTGGGGGAGAGGTGGCTGCCAAAGGGCCGGGCTCAGAGCTGCCGGTCCCTGTTTTTTTTTTTTGCCCCTCCACGCTTTGCATTCCAGCCCCAACACACACTTAAAAAAAGAAGGAAAAAAAACAATAATAACAATAGGGGACAAGAGGAATGCGGGCAGCACCGAATTCGTCGCAGCACCGACACGAGTTGGTGGAGCGTTTACTCGGCCTGTCCACCGCCTCTTTTGGCGACCAGTTGCAGCTTGTTGGCCGCCTGTGCGACACCCCGCTGCCAACGCTGGAGGAGGCCCTGCTGCAGGTGTCCCACGTCTGCATCACCCACAGTGAGCCGGAGGTGCAGAACCTGCTGCGCAACTTCATGCTGTCGCTGGCTGCCAAGTCGTTTATCGCCGCTCTGCGATTGTCGTGGGCGGTGGACTCGGTGTGGGGCATCTTCTCCGCGCTGGGCCTCGGGGACCGCGTGAAGGAGGTCCAGGACAAGATTGAGAGCGTCGCGATTAACCATAGAGGAGGGGCCGCCAGAGGAGGCGGGAACCACGCGGACGTGACGGAGGCGGAGGTTGGGCGGAAGGAGATGCGGCTCAAGCTGTACAACGACGAGAGGCAGTTTCTCAGCATTATCACCGGCTGGAGCGCACAGCTGTGCCAGTACCCGGACAGGCGCAGGCGCCAAACTGAGTTGCGAAGGAAACTGCACGAACTCAACAAGACACTGGGCACCCAGGCACTTATCTACCCCTTTGGTGGCGTCGACGATCCCGTCAAGTGGATCGTAAACGTCGCGGTGGATGAGTCTGTTGTTTTCTCTTCGCGTGAGCGGGCCCCGTTTTTGCTTCGCTGCGAAGTCGTCTTTGATGACACCACGACGATGCGTGACCCAATGGCGTCCAAGTTGCGCCTGCCCAATGGCTCCTTTAGAATAACGCGGGACTTCGATGAGGTGTTCGCCCCGTCGCCCACGCGGCGAGGCCGGGGCGAGGAGAAGGCGGGGATGAGTGATGGGGCTGCGCAGGGCAGAGGAGAGCGCGGCGCCTTTGCGTGCGCGTTTGGGGAAACACCGGAGGAACGCGTCGCACGCCTGCGCAAAACAGCTCTCTTTGGGAAGCACCCCAACTGGGACATAGCCTCCATTTTTGTCAAAGCCGGAGATGATCTGCGACAGGAGGAATTGGCTTTGCAGCTGATCAGTGTCTTTAACCAGATTTGGGAGGAAGCCGGACTCACCTGCTCAGTTCGCCCGCATCGAGCCCTTTCTGTTTCCACGGATTCGGGGGTGATAGAGTGCATAGATGGTGCCTGCTCAATCGACGGGATCAAAAAAGCATGCTCGGTTACAAGCCTGGCACAGTTCTTTAATGAGGCCTTTGGACCAGTGGGTTCCGAGAGGCATTCCAGAGCAGCGGCGAATTTTGTGGAAACCATGGCAGGGTACAGCATTGTTACCTACATGCTGCAGATCAAGGATAGACACAATGGCAACCTGATGCTTACAAGCGAGGGACATCTGGTTCACATTGACTTTGGGTTTATGCTCGTGACGTCGCCTGGTGGGATCAATTTCGAATCCGCCCCCTTTAAGCTTTCACAGGACCTCATGGAGGTGCTGGGCGGCGTGGAAAGTGATATGTTTAGCTACTTTAAGGTGTTGCTGTATCAAGGCATGGTGGCGGTGCGGGAGCGTGTGGAGGACATTTTGGGCCTCGTCTCGCTCATGACCCCCTATAACACCATGCCGTGCTTTGGGAGCGATCCCGTTAGCGCAGTTCAGCAGCTGCGCTCCCGTTTTCGCTTTGACTTGGAGACCGAGACGGATTTTGCCCTCTACGTGAAGGAGCTCGTTGCGGAAAGCGTCGATAACTGGCGCACGCGGCGGTACGATCAGTTTCAAACCCTTCAGAACGGCATACTCTGAGCTCGTGACTGCGTTCGATGCCTCCATGCGCGCGTGTGACTTCTGCGGCATGGAGGATTTGTTTTTTGTTTTTGTTTTTTTTTGTTTTGGGACGCCCGCGGGAGACGAACTCCAACGTGGTGGCGCATCAAC